CGGTGCAGCTCGGCTGCGCTTTCCTTAACCCGGCACATCTCATCCGCTCCATTAACGACCCCGAGCACCCCCTGACCCTGGAGGAGCTGAATGTCGTCGAGCAAGTGCGAGTGAAAGTGAGAGCCGCGCTGAGATGGGCTTGGCGGCCCCGCCGGGCCTCCGGGGGCCGCCCGGTCCATCGGTGCGGGCTGTGCTGCGGGGCAGGGCTGCTGCCGGCTCATTAACTTCCTTATTTTTTCCTAACATTAAAAGAGGTTTATTATAGCAATCTACTGCAGCTAAACGTAGTATTCAAAAATGTCGGTGAACAAAACTAGGAGCGACAAAGTACCACTTTGAGTTGCATTTCACATAAAACGCCTCCAGCGAGCTTGGGGTAAAGGCGGTGAGGTTTGTACATGGGAAGTGTTTGGTTTCCAACAGGTGAATGATGCAGAAAGCACGGTGGCAGTGGAGTTCACTCCCACCATTCCTCACTGCAGCATGGCGACGTTAATCGGCCTCTCCATAAAAGTAAAATTGATCAGATCTCTGCCTGAGAGATTTAAGGTGAGTAATCAAATCACTCTGGAAAGCAAAAGAGGGGTATTGTGTTTGAAAAGAAAAAATAAAAAGGCAAAAAAAAAAGTTAACTAATTTACAGTGAAAAATAACTAGAGCTTTTTTTTTGTATAATGGGTGAGGGAGCACACTCCAGGAAACAGAGAGCAGTGGACTGTAGTATCGATGCAGAATTACGGTTCTGTGACAGTCATGGCAGGGTCAAGAGGGGTTCCGGAGGGACGTTACCTGCAGTGCTCTACAGCACGGGAGGAGGAGCAGTTGGTGCCTCATCTGCTTGTTGGAAGAAGGCTTAAGCAGATGGGAATGCAAAATATTCTGTGATTTTAGACTTCATTTTAGTCTGCTATATACACTAATTGGTGTTGGCAAGAATGCCCTCTCCCCCCCTTTTTTTGTTATTGTCATATTTTTATTATTAAATGTTTTGAATTTGAGCTTCCAGTGTTTTGTTGACTTGTCCCCTTTCTCTTTTGTGATGCTTTTTAAGCTGGATGTTCATATAACGCCAGGAACACATGCCTCTGAGCATGCAGGTAAGGTTTTTCAAGCTCTCTGCTGTGGTCTTTGTTTTTTTGATCTTGAAAATTAGAGAGGAGAGTGATTCTCACACCTGTCGAGCAGCTGTTCAGTATCTGGAACTTCATGTGCGTCAGATTCTGGGGGATGTTACAGAACAGGAATGTGTAATAATGACACTTGGATGTGCTCTGTACCGTATTTTGAACATCTCCTCAGGCAACCTGCTCTCTCCACTAGTTATTGATTTGCCTGGGTTATGGAGGACTCGGAAAATGGGGAGAGGCTGAGGGGAAGTTTCTTCCCTGCAGATGTATAGCTCTCTGCTGCTGAATCAGAAACAGCTTGCTGGTTTAACTGGTGATAACATTGATAACAAATGGTAGCTTCGATTTTAGACTGCAGCTCTACAGTGTACTTAGCATCTGCAGAATTACCTGTCTACCTGAGTACCATAGCAAGTGTCATTATGTGTCTTAACATAAAATGCTTTAAAAAAGACACTGTGTACCAATGTTTTGACCAGTTTCTTGTGTTGTTGTTTGTTTGTTTGTTTTCTGAACAGTTAATAAACAGCTTGCTGATAAAGAGCGTGTAGCAGCTGCTTTGGAAAACTCTCACTTACTGGAAGTGGTGAATCAGTGTTTGTCTGCTCGATCGTAATTGCCTGATGAGGAAATTGTTGGTATTCTGCTATGTTAAACTAATTTTGTATCTAAGTGGTGATGCTAGTGTTACATTATATATGTATCTGTGAGCAAAATAAAATCACTTGGATTTTCTTGAAGAAATGTTTCATTACTCCTACAAAATATAGTGTGGGGGAAATTAGCTTACAGGCAGCTACAAAAATACAATGAAAATTTACTTTTTAATTATATTAGTGACTGCACAGGTAGGATATTTCTTTGAAAATATTTGTTTCAACCTGGTTTTAACTGGTTTCTCACTATCCAAAATTAGTTATAAACTGCATTTTAGAAGTGGATTTTGCACACCGGACTTTACAAGTACACAGAGCTAATTGGCAGTTAAAATCTGTATGTTCATATGACTGTTTTGGACTGATAATTTTAGCTTCAGACCTCAAAAACCGTGTAAGTTCATGTGTGCAAAGTTGTAACACAGCAATAAGTGTAAACACTTCTAAATCATCTGCCTGGTCTTTATTATATTAACTTGGATTAGCCAAATATGGAGGGCTCTTTAGACCTGCATAAAATGTGGTTTATTTTTAATTACTCATTACTTGTGGTAGGAAATACAGTATCTTTGAGGTAGGTTTTTTTTGCGCACCTGCTGCAATATAGGAGAGAGTTATTCATAGTTTTCAGTATGAACAGTCCAGCTACACGCTGCTGAAAGACTTTCCTGGCAAAGTTTGCCAGCTAAATGACAAGTTTTGCTTTAAACGTGTTGAGATTCAGTAATAATAGCTAGCCTATGCTTGTGGTCCAGGCGATGTGGCCTAGACTAAACTACTGTCTCTGGCAGAAATTGACAATAGGAAAATTCATTAAGATAGAATTCCAGAATTAATTTGAACTTTTGTAAAAGATGTTTCTAATCATGGACCACATGGAAAAATAACAACCTGTTGACAACCCGTGGAAGAAATCCTATTGGGTATTTCGATGCCTGTACATGTACGATGTTACTGTCATCAGTTATCTAGAGAGCAACTAATACACTTTTAAAACAGTAGATTGTGCTCGCCTGTTTGGTGGTAATGCTTTATATTTCAGTAGAAGTTTCTCTTGGAGGGTCTTAGATGCTATTTTAAAAATGGTGAAGCTTAGGAACATTACTTAAACCACAGCCCAGTAGTCCGGTCTAGTCTGTGTTGCACAGCTGAGGAAGCTGAGGCAGTGGTGATTCAAGTGTGACATCTAAAGTCACGTAGCAAAATAGGACGGAAACAAATCCAAATTTTCCATTTCAGAAACGAGGCACCCAGTCTGCACAGGGTTTCTACAGAAAACCAGCTCTGCAGTAGCCTTAGTCTGCCTATTTGGCTTAGCATCCTTTGAATGATCAGCACTTGCTTGGATGTATGAATGAAACTGTACATAAAGACAATATTTATGTGCTATTAATATTGGGAAAGGAGCAGAATGACCCAGCTGTTAATACTATCTTTCCGCTGCCTGTCTTGCTGAATCACTGAACTAACTGATGAATTCTGACGTTGTCAACATTTGCACCACAAATGAAACTTCAGCCATGGCCACGCATGCAGGCAGCTCATAGGCAATACGCTTGGTTGGTCTGATTTTGTTTTCTGCTTTTTTTTTTTTTTTTAATAGAAAATTAATTTTGCCCTCACAGTTTTTGGGGAAGAAAGGAATGCAAATGTGTGCCAGGGGGAAAACAGAAGGATGACTAAGCTGCCAACAGATTGCTTCAACCTGCACTCCAAATAGAGACAGAATCAGTAATTTATGCTTTGTTGAATCTCTCTGCTTGGCTTTCACCGCTACATAATAATAGTGTTAAATAATTTATTGCGATGTTGGCACTTGCTTCATGAAGCACAGTACACAGTAACTGTAGGGGTGCACTTTGCACCGTTTACCTTTTCAGAGAAGCAACAGTACGTGGTTAGATTGTTTAAATGTATAGTATATAGTTGGGGGATGACTTTTCAGTAAAGGGACTCTATTGTGGGATATCAAAGAAAAGGTCTGACTTATGCTGCTTAGGAATGGAGAATTCTATTACTTTAGATATGGCACGTTTCTTTAAGTGATGTGGATGTTACATTTATGAGGTGACAGAAACAACAGTAAGGACAAGCCAGAGTTGCTTTGCTGAAGATCACAGGTCCTCCTGTTCAGGCTCCCTCAGCTTGGGTACTTGGTGAATGATAACTTACCACCAGTTCTAGCAAAAATCTTCCATTCCCTGGTTTTAATGAGCATTAGCTGGCTCCTGCTGTAAGGAGATAAAGTGGGACAAGAATACATTAGTTCGTTACAAATATTTCTTGTCAGATGTTTATTTTTCCAAAAAGCTACCCCTAAATTTAGCCTCTGGAATGCTTTGTAATAGGACACATTCCATCAGAAACTGTGACCCTTTAGAGCAGCTGTGTTGAATACAAACAGCCTCATTCAAGTCCAGGAAAAATGCCAGCAGCAGACATCTGTTTCACATTCCTAGGCTCTGGGCAGGGCCTTCCAGGGGTGGCTGAATGGCACTCGCTACTCTCAGCCTGCAGACACTGCGACAGGAGCTCCCTAGGGCAGCTGGCTGGTTTGCACACTAGAGTGACCTGCCGTGTGTTTGAGCCCGCGGACCAACACAGCTCCCACATCTCGGGTTCCACCCCACCGCACATACTTGGGCCTGCCCACGCAGTCCTGCTCCCTGGGAGGAAGCAGACTTCTTCCCAGCTGCTCCCATACTGTCATTGCTGCCCAGTACCAGCAGTCTGAAGCTTTTGAAGACAGTTCATCCCCCAGTTCCACGAGTGGCAGGGAAGCAGCTCAGCAGCTTTGTATCCAAAGACACAACTGAACTGTCCGTGGAGAACTTCACACTTCAATGGCAATATTTCTTGTGCTCCTTGGATGGAGCAACGTGTACCACACACTGGGAACTGTTAGTTTAAAAAAAGTTACCTCAGTCTTCTGGGCGTGCTTAAGATTGATGTGTTTACATCAATAAAGTGATTTGATAAAGATCTCCCTCTGGAGCTTTGATTTATAAACTACGTGTTTTACAATGTGTGTTGTGCTTTTGGTGTTTTTTTTTTATAGCTGTTAAAAACATTTCCCTTTACCCTGTCAAGCAGACAACTGTACCACTTTTCCTTCCTTTATGAATTGCAGTGTTTGGCTGAAATACAGGCTGGACAAGTGTCAGAGTCAACTTTTTTCCCTAAACAAAAGTAAAGTTTATAGCAAAATCTTTCAACTGTTACTATGGAAAGGTAAGTATCAGCAAAGAGAATAAAACCAGGGGAAGTTGAGGCTATTACCTGTATATTTAACTGTTGGTATGTCTCACAACCATTTGCCAGCAACATTTAATAGAAAGCATATAAAGCTTTTTTCATTCCACAAAACGCTAAAAATACACAACATTTTTACAAAATGTTCAAATAGCAGAAAGCCCTCTTTCTGTTCAACAGACTTAAGCAGTCACAGAAGACATGCTATCACATTCTGTAACCTTCTTACATATTTCTTGTTATCAGTTCATACATTTCTTTCATGTCCTACCTGTACAAACCTTTGGCATCCTCCATTCCTTTGGATCACAGGAGCAGTCCTGCCTGCAGCGATAAAACTTCCTGGTTGTTGGGATGGTTGGATATCCTGCTCGCCCAGCTTCATTCCACACACTCATCAGGTCACCGAGTAACTTGCCAGTTGTCTCATCAGTTTTGTGGCTTTTCAGTATCTTGTTGCAGGACACTCAAGCTTCATATGCCAAGGCTGTCTTCAGTACAGGGGTTAAAACAGGCTTTGGTTCCTGCCATTAGCTCAGCTCCCAGTGCAAAGCTGGAGGGAGAGAACGAGGTCGAAGTTAATTTCCAGCAAGTCTGCAATAAATGTAACATGGGAGTGGGGAGCAGCTGCTGCCAAGGAGCTTTGGGAAGGAAGAGAAAGACAAGGAAATAGCAGGGGCGTATGACACCTCGCTGGGCTGCCACTAGCCTTGGTCTGTGGCAACATGGAGAACAGGGAGCTTCTACAGTGCTGGAGGCTTTGTCCTCCAAATTGCAGGGGAAATAAATGAGCTCCCATTACCTTACTCTAGACATCTCCTGCCCCTCTGGTTCCCTTGTTCCCTACAAGCTGGCTGCCAGAAGGGGAGATTCGCACGTGGGGCCTGTAGCCAAGGCATGCCCACAGCATGACCCCCTCTGCCCAGCCCATTAGTGCCCTGGTGCGGCTGCAGGTAACAAGAAAGCCTTTGCTGTCCCACTGCAGGTAAGTCACCAACAGCAGGAGGAGACATCAGGAGGAGAAGTATAAACTTAAACTAAAGGCTTCAAGTTCACAAAAGGAGATGCACGCCTTGCCAGATCCTAAGTCCAGTGGCCAGAGCGTGGGCAGCAGCTGTGTCCACGCTGAGCCAAGCAGGAAGACTCGAGCGACTGCCAAGTCGTCACTGCCAAACTCTCTCTGCTGGATGGGATCCTGCCCATTATTTTGATGTAACTTTGAGATGATGGTTTATCATAGCACGCTTTTCCCTAATCTACCCAAATTAGATTCATCTGGGTTCCCATCAGATGTGTCACACATGGCTTTGACCAAAATAACCTCAGTAGATTGTCAGGATCTTGCTTAACCCCAGGATGCCTGGCAGCTTGATTTCTCTACACTTTTGCTAATGGAAGAGCTGGCACACGCTCTGTCTAAGGATTACGAAGGTATCTAAGCAGCAGTACTTTCTACTTCCCCTGCAAAGTGATAAATAAATCATCCATGTAGTCTAAAGTGCTTGCAGAGAAAAACAATAAATGTCAATAGATTCCAGATTTTTTTCCTAACAGTTTTAACAGAACAAAACTAGTTTTATTACTGAAATAGTTTCATTAACACTGCAGCCAACTTTTTAAACAACACAATTACTTTTGAGGTAGTCAGAAAATAATAATTAGAAATGAGTTACATAAATTGTTTCTCTTCAAATTGGCACTGACTGTT